AAAAATTAGATTATGAATTTTTGAATTTGGTGGGAAAGAACTTTTGCACTAACCTAATACGCCTCTCATCAAACATTTATATGCACAGTTGCTGTGATTATTCCTTAGCTAAACATCGGAAAATTGAAAACGTCATCCTTGCTGGGCTGTTCCCAGGGTCAAGCAAGAGGTGTGGCACACGATCGCTGGTTACGACCTCCCCCCCCCCCTCTTATTGCTGTCTCAATAAGGCCCCTGAACTATACATCTAAGATAGGATTACATGAAGGCCCTATCAAACATAACGGGCAACATATACATAATTAGCACATGTCAATTAACCCCCGTAGACAATGTTTGAGCGAACTCTGAAGATTCAAGATACTAGGCTACCTAAATGAAATGGTCAAATTCCAACATGGTTAACTTTGCTTCAAAGGTGAATTAGCTAGCTGTTTTTGCACTCAGGACAAAGCACTACTTCTTCTTTGTCCATCTCAGAAATCCCGCTTCAAAAGACCTCCTAACTTTGGAATTAGAAGCCAACCAAAATCTTATTTTTCCTATTTTTCGCTTTTGATGGCTGCGCTTTCACAAATATTACTCAGAGCTAAGGAGGCAAATCAGACTCAAATCACTCTTATGACATCTATGAGGTCTACTCTATCGATGCATATAAATAACGTTCGCTAAAAAAATTGTTGATATAGTTAATGGGGTGTGGCACCACCATGGTGGCTGGCACAGCTTTTTAGGGGTGGTGCCACACCCCATTAAAGGCAGCGTCCGGGCAAGATCCATCCACCCAGGTTAGCATATAGTGGTAAAGAGTGGCCCATGAGTATCCGATCTGCGTTGGTCCGAATCTTTGAAGTGGCCTCTAAAAGGAGATACGGGCCTTTGATACGTATCACAAACTGTCCCTTCGTATCACAAACCACCGCTGAGGACGAGTGCTCACGCAGGTGTGCGGTTGCATTGCAGTTGTATTGCAGTTGCACTGCATACTGCAATGCAACGGCTTCCGTGCAGTTGCAGCTCCTCCCGCTGGCATGCGATGGGGACAAGCAATCCGAAACTCGTCCGCTTCTTGAAGAGATGGTCCCCAAGAATCGTAGTTTTTTGGAGGTGTTGAACAATTTGGACTTTACAACTGTATTCAGGGCCACGGGAAGGCCCCAGAATGGCAGAAACATGAGAGGCGAAATTTTGCCCGGACGCTGCCTTTAACTTACCTGCAAAATGATCAAATAGCTGCGTTTTTTATATCGTTTTACTGCTTAACCTTCTTCTTTACATGGCAGAAATTTCATATGAAAACGTTTCTTCAAGAGCAAGATATAATCGTTTTTTTCTTACCTATGCAAATGTAAAATACTGGTAAAATACTGCGAAAATATTGGGATACGGTAACATGCTAAGTCTGCGCTACTACGTGAATCGCAAGGGAAGGCACAAGAATGTATTATTATTATATATTCGATAGCCTAAGCCTCGTAATCTACATTAAAGTGATTTGATTGGTCTTCTCTAGCCTGAGATATTGAGAACGAAAAATGGAATGAACGAGATTTTGGTTTGCTCTCAATTCCTTAATTTGGAGGTCATTTAGAGTAAAATTCCTAATGTGAGCAAAGAAATAGCAGTTCTTTGTATTAAGCGCAAAAAAAGTAGTTAAATTACCTTTGAAACCATGTTTGAAAACGATCATCTCACTTAGGTGGACTTGTATTTGGAAACTTCAGAATTCGCTCAAACTTGGATCACAGAGGTTACTTGCAAATTATAAAACGATGCTTTTATGCTTTATAGATCTTTAATTATGCTTACTGTAGTACACGATAATATGGATCAAACATCAACGTGCTAGTATTTTGCATGCCGGGCCTATTTGACATTGTAAACAAATATCATGTTATGCGAACAGCGAACGCCTTGATAACGACCCCTCCCCCGCTCCTGATTCCTCAGTACGACCCCCCAGGTGTGGTATGCCGCACCCCACGCTTGACCCTGGCTGTTCCCAAGTTAGTGATTCTATAGTACTCGGCTTGCGAAGTGGAGCTGTAAATTTTTAACCTCCTCAAGAGCAGTTTTTAAGAAATACCAAATTCATTCAACTAACACTTGCAGAAGGATGAAAATCTACTTCTTTACTCTCCAAGATAAGTAGTATAGGATTACTTGATCGGAAAGAGCACCGCATCACTTTGGCAGAAGTGATTTACGATTTTTCGATGAGCTAAGGATTAATCACAGCAACTACGCATATGTATGCTTGATGAGGAATGTATGTTCGTGAGCAAATTGAAGGTTTGCAGAAAATTTTTGAACGAGATACGAATTTTTGTGTTTTTATATCTATCTATTTAGCATTTGAACTCCTCCTTCTATTTGTTTATTACGCGAAAGGATGCCGATAATTTGAGGGTTTACATTTTCCATAAGCTGATGTCCTTAGAAGTTATGAGCACAACGTGGCGAAAGAGCTCACTTATACCTCTCGCTTTTGCCTAACTTCTTGGCTTGAGTTAACACTTCCTTAGGAAGTTGACATAGCACAGATAATCAAACTACACTAGAAAATAATTGGGCGTTACTTTCCTGCTGTGAACTCGTTAACTGACTTATACACCCTCATCGAATCCTGAAAAAGCCAAGCGTCTTGTATTTTTCCTGACGTCTCAAGGAAACTAGAACATTTTCATAAGCGAAGACTTGAGGACCAGCTAGGCATCACGCAGTAGAATAATACAAAGGCCAGAGATGGCATTACTTCTCGATGTTTGTCCATTTATAGCTAAACGTGATCTGCAGTACTCGTGGGTGAGTGAGTAACTAATTAACAACACATAATGCCTATATCTTTCAACCATATCAGATGCCATTTGCGTACGCGAATAAGTAAGAAACAAGTCTTTTACACAGAAAGAAAGCAGAAAAGCACAGCCTGCTTTCGACAAGAAATCGAGGAATGTGACGGGTCTGTTAATATGCTGGAACTGTTCAACAGTTAATCATCTATCCCTCATAACCTAGAGATCACAGCTCATGGCTTTCAACAAAAGGCACAGTCTGCCTACAGCAAGGATCAGTTGGCCAAGATACGGCATCTTTTCAGATAAAATAGTGAGGACCTACAAAAGAAAAACAAGTAATGTGGATCAGCTACTAGCTCGCTGTCCGATGTAGTTAGGTTCCCTCATACCTAATATGTATGTTGATTGAGAAATAAAATCGCTCTTTTTCTTGAATTTTTGTTTGTTCGACAAAATTGCTGGTTCTGATCTATTCAGGAGGATCAAGCCTTGGACAATACATATATCCCGACGGCTTTCTACTATAAAGAGCTGCAAATAAAACCGAAGAAGAAGATCATGCAAGCCTAGATTTTATTTCGATGGCTGTAAATTCGAGATCCTATAAATAGCTTGAACGATGTAACGTTCCACCCACCAGTTTTGTCTGAGTCATTTTCTGAAATAATGCAGCTCGATTAATTTGTATATCATCAGAGAGTCCTGAAAAAGAGTGGCAGACGCTTGCCCTCTAGGAGTCCTCAAAACTCTCATACTTATTCAAACAGGGAGTTACTTCTAGCTATCCCGCACCAGTAATGGAAAAGCTTGAGAACGCCGCAAGGCTATAAGTCATCATATAAGAAGAAATAGCCATTTAAAACTTCGACAGCATTTGTAACGCAACGTGCTACCTGAACTCGATTAGCTGGCCTATCAGCAGAAGTAAGCGTAAGTGGTTATCACAGCAAATAATGAAGCACGAACAGGACGAAGTTGAAAGCGCGGCAAAGCTATAAGTCATCAAATAGGAAGAAATAGCCGTACGCCATACAAAATGGTATGAACCGTAGAAACTCAAAGGACAGTGATATAACTCGTTTTTGTTGTGTACTCGATTCCTGATAGAATGCGGAATGTTTTTACTGTTCTTTAGCCAATCTAGGCAAATGTGAATTGATCAGTTTGTAAAAAATCAATATGAAATAATATGTGCAATATGTGCCAATCAATATGTGCTTGTGCCAAGCGATGACCCCAAGTTTCTACACCTTTCGGGCTTTACGAGAGATGTAATTCTCAGAACCAATAAAGTCCCTGAAGTCTGACTACGACAGCACGTAGATGACAATAGAAGACGAGGAGCGATAATTTGAATTTCGCACGAAGGCCTGAAAATTTTGATAAAATGGAGGAGGGTTCGATGGCGATTGAGCATGTTGAATTTGATTGACTTATATTACGAAAACTATTCACAAAATAATCAATCTATGTGATTTCAGTGTTCTTCGAAGTGCCACCAACCGACTCAAAACTGTCATCATCTGGAATAACCGGTTCTGTAGGTAGTACCGAGTCCAATAAGTAAGAAATAGACCTACACTTGCTCTTGCTAGCTTACACCTTGTCTTTCCTCACTCCTTTCTTTGCTACCTTCTAGTAACTCTGCATAGCGCACTGGCCATCTCATCGACAAACATAATGACATGGAAACTCACTATCAATATCATACCAACGATAACTATTGACAGTCGTTTTTATGCTTTCGCTTTCCGATGCAAATTTCAAAGCATGCACGTGGGACGTGCAAACTGCGGAGAATTCCTGGAGACACGTGCTTAGATGCCAGCACTATGCAGCCCTGCAGTGACGATTTTGATTTGCACATCACCTTTGTAAATGTTTTATCTCTGCAATCGCGTTAAATGAATCATGGTGGAATGCTATTTGTATTCCTATGATCCTCCCCAATCAGATCTCAAAACTGTCTCGCAGAATAGGTCTAAACGCGTGAAATCTCCGATCCGCTGCTTAAAACGTTTTTCTGGATCTCCCTGTTTCGCACTTATACTTCTAAGTTAGCATCAGTCGCGAATCTTACACACATTTGTGTTATGCAGCTTGATAGACCAATCTTTCAGACTATTTCTCCAACAATAAAACGCACGAATCCTAGCAATGCCTTTACATCCACGTTCGCGTCTCATTTTCTATCACTTCATTCTTAGGAATGGTTTTCGAGCGTGTGCCCGCTGAGCCCGCTGATGTTTCGATTCTTGGCACACCGCTGACGTTTCGCAATCACCGCAAAGCAAAAAATCGTTTTCTCAAAGTAAGAAGGAATTTCTGGACCGTTTGTGTTTTGAATCTAAATACCTACTCTTATTCAAGGCTGCTTTGTCAGAAAGGCTCGCGACGTGGGATTATGAAGATCTTTCCAAAAGAGGAATTCCAACACAAGAGCTGATTAACATCTATGATAAATGGGGAAATAGTGGATATGGCGTCATTCTCACGGGAAATGTTGCTGTTGAGCCAGTGGGAAATTACTATTTATATCATCTCTCGTTTTCTTGCCCAGTACAGGCGTAACGGCCATCACTTTTTGAATCTTTAATACTTTAGAGAAATTTGGAAAATGCTGGAAATATGATTATAAGCAGAGAAAATGACTCGCCCGATCTAAGAAAGGTTTACTCGGAACTGGCAACGGCTTCCAAGCAAGATGGAGCACTTGTAGTCATGCAAATTACACAAGTTTGTCAATGAAATCCATGACAAGAGAAAAGCGTTGTTTTTCTAGGCCGGTAGACAAACTCCGCTAGCAGTAAATGAATATCCGTACTCTAGCTCAGACGTGCAATTAGTGGGTCCCGGAATACAGTGTGGCAAACCGATACCCTTAGCTTTGGATCAGATCAAAACCGAAGTCATTGATCGATTTGTTTATGCTTCCAAAGTGGCATACGAGACAGGTAACTTTGGCTGCACTATATTCTAACATTTGCTAAACTCTTTGAGCAAACTACAGGTCATGCTATTGCATTCAGGATATGACGGGGTGCAGCTTCATGGTGCCCATGGTTATTTGCTTTCGCAATTCCTTTCCCCTACCACGAACAAGAGAACTGACAGATATGGCGGATCAATAGAGAACAGAGTTCGAATAATTGTAGAGATTTTCGAAGCGATCAGATACGCGAGATCTTTCCCTACGGTAACCATCGAATTTGCTTCAGAATTATAATTTTTGAGGAGGGAGATTCCACCGGCGACGGGATTCATTGTAGGAATCAAAATTAACTCGGTTGAATTCCAAGCTGAAGGACTGACTACAGACGACGCTAAAGCCGCTTGTGCAATCTTGGAGGTGAGCAAACACATAATCTAATGGCTTTCTAAAAATTTAATTTTGTTAGGAGTGTGGTTTCGATTTCGTAGAGCTTTCTGGTGGAACTATGGAAAAGATAGGATTCCAACATATGCGCGAATCCACAAAGAAGCGCGAAGCATTCTTCCTCGACTTTGCAGAGCAGGCTTGTTCATTTTCATAGTGTGCTTGAGTGCTGTCATTCATCCGTTTGATTGTTCGAAAATTTCATTCACGTGACTACGCTCCCTGGATCACCATCACTCTGTGATAACCAAATCTGAAAAAAAAAACATTCTGCCTCATTTACTATGAACACAATTTCTTTTGTTTGGTGCTAGAGATTGTTATTATTTGGTACTCAAATAGTTTTTATTTCTTGTGTTTACCGCTCAAGAAATAGTAAAAACATTTTTTGCTCTACGTAAAACTCGCTGGTTGACACGATTTTGACTCAGACAAAGGCTTTACCATAAAACAAATTTTTCCACATAATCAAGTTCTGTTTTGCAATTTTGGGTGAAGAAAAATGGGAAAATTTATAAAAAATATGCGAGAGGCGCAGTGGTATGATGCTCCTCTATGCCACGGGGGCAGTGAATCGATCCTTGCCGCTGGGCCAACCAAGCCCTCTACCTTTCGGCAACGGTACACTGATATGTATCCGTGATCTGCAAGGATGGGGACACAATTTGATAACCGGCTAATCCCCGCAAGTCATTGTATAGGTTGACACCGTTTCGGTGGCCTCTTTGACTGTAAAGCAGAATGCGCCCTTCGCATGACTTGCGGATAATGAAACAATTTTTTTCAAGTCAGAAAAATTACCTAGAAAGCGGATCTTGGATGTTGCCTACACGTGATTTTTCTGTTACTATGAAAGATAGAGTCATAACTTGAACCCAACATAGCGCATAAGCCCAATCAGAGTTTTGAGTTTCTGTAAAACCTTAGGCGGTGAAGGGATTTTTTTTTAATTTACTGAATGTGTGCACATACAAGCAATAATATGCTAGTACGCGTCTTTTAAAAATTTTGATTTTTTGGTGGAATAATCTTGCAAACCCTTCTAAAAAAGCGAATACATGAATTTTTAGTAACCCTGCTTATGTTTTCAAAGATTTGCATTTCATGATCGAATGGAGCGGAGAAAGTCTTGACCTTGACTTAGCAGCTTTCCAGATTCGTCCAGTCTTCAAAGAAACTATCGTGTACGTCACTGGTGGATTCCGCACAGCGAAATGCATGGCAAACTCCATCGAAAGCGGTATTACGGATGGGGTAGGCTTAGGAAGGCCTGCCACAGCTGAGCCAGGTCCTGCAAGTGGTTTCATATTTCTATGGGTGACTACAATGATTCTTCTCTCAGATTTGCCGCGAAAAATCTTGGAAGAGAGTTGCCTTTCCGCCCCCGATACAAAAATTGATCAAAGCGACTTCAAAATCACACTCATGGCTAGTTTTGCACAAATGGGACAAATGGGAAAATTACCCATGCGCTTTTTGAACAAGTAAATCACTTTGCTACATCCATAGAATGCTCCAATCAAAATTGCTTTAGTGTATGCGAGGGCATCGCAGATCTCAGCAACCCCGAAGAATCACAAAATTTCCAGAAAGAGCTTGGAGCTTATTTTAAATGGATGATGGAACGTACGGCTGCCAGGAAGCCCATTTATGGAGTATTTCAGTATAAGAATTTGTTTTAATGCAGTATGATTCGATGTGTTCAGCCAACACCGTTTAGATGTAGCATTTATGATTGAAGTACTATACTCATAGTAAAGCAAATGTTTAGCTCTTACCACGGAGTTATTTTTAGCTTCACCTTATCTGACTTTCATATCAAATATTTGGGCTTCATATGCCTCTTTTTGTAGAGCATTCAAAGTAGAGAGAATACGACGCGTAGTGGTATGTCATGATGTTGACCATCCTATGTATCTTCTACCTAAGTGACTTCCATTCCGAATGTAGAATAAATTTTCGTGATTACTCTTCCTGAGCACGAATTTATTGCATTACTAGCTGGCTTCCCCGGCTCCGCCGTCTGTTCCGAATAGAAAATTCCATTTCTTAACCGATCCAGACCAAACTTGGCACTCATACACTTCGGGCCCCGGCGGGTGTCACAGTCCACTTTTCGTTATCGATCGATGTCGATTTTATCAATTTTTTTGCAAAATTTGAGCTAGCGGGCTGAAATTTGGCAGAGAGGTGTAATCGAGCATGCTGATCACCCCCACGGGGGTGATCAGCATGCTCGATTACCCCCTGTGCCAACTCCCAGCCCCGTAGTTCGAATTTTGCAAAAAATCGATAAAATCGATATCGATCGATGACGAAAAGTGGCCTATGACACCCGCCGGGGCCCGATGTGTATGTGTGCCAAGTTTGGTCCGGATCGGTTCAGAAATGGAATTTTCTATTCGGAACATACGTACAGACATACAGACAGACAGACATACATACAGACAGACAGACAGACAAACAGACATTCAGCTTTATATATAAGATTGATAGCAGATTTTGAGCAGATTGTTACGATAATAAAGTCATGCATCAAATTCAAATGGCAGGATTTCAAAACAAGAGTTCATTTATGGAGTTGCTAACGTTTGGTTTGGCAAAATTGAAAAGGAATTACAATCTCCCACTTGATGTCAACTGCTGAAAGAATGTAACACAAATGATTTTCATAGTTAGCTTGATATGAATAACATACAAATCATCGTTGCAATCTGCTTGCTAGCCAAACGTCGCATTCACTTTTTAGTAACAGGGCATGGAACCTGCTGAATAATTACAGTGCACTCCCTTCGCGCACTTATCTTAGAAAAAGCTTGGAAGAGCCTGTAATATGCCTGCTCTTCTCGAAAATCTATTCGTCAAAACTTCGTCTGCTTTCTTCCACAGTAAACATGCGCAACATGGAAAGAACACAAGAAAAAAATTTACATATAAATTCCTGAGGTTATTTTGAAAGCTGGAAGGTGCAGTTATCCTAGGCGCTAACAAATAGTCGCCTAGTGCGAGAAAGCATAAGTAATGACAAGAGCTCTAGAAAAAAGGAAGAATACTAGGATAAGATCAGCTGGGAGTCCATTCTTTGTAACATTTCAGATCTACTAAACTTCATACTATATCGCGTAGTATAGAAAGCTACTGATAGAGATACTGCAGTAACAATGACATAAGACACAAGTGAAAGTCTGTCATCTTCGAAGCAACATTTCACGCAATATAGGCAGATTTGACACAAGTGATTCAGACTATTTGAAACAGTAATCCAGCTCTTAACAAAAATGTCAATCTCAAAATTACCTTTTCTTCTTTAGAACCTGTATGAGAGAGATCAGCAAGTTCCTCTCGTTATCTGCAGGAAAGGCACAGAAACTTAGTGACGCTAACATACAAAGTTCTTCAGGTGCTGAAAGAGGAGCACTCTTACTTACGGACATGTACGAAAAAATGTTGTATCGAGTAATTCGCACTTGTAGGGAACCGCCTTGATCCCAATGCTTATGGGCATGCACTGTTTCTTGCGAAGGCTCTCCTTGCTTCGCAACCTTTTTCTTTCGCGCCAGGACCGACATCGAAAATGCAATATTCATGCAATAGTCATCACGAATTGCCACCCGTCAAGCATAGAAAACCACACGGCGAAATATCTAGCAGCAAAAAAATGTGCCACTTGCAAACGGTTTCAAATCAAATTACTTTTGCGCATTTATTCTCATCGAGAAAGATCATACATGACTTGAGCAATGTAATGTACATAGAATAAGTGAGTGTATAAACCTAAAAACACTAACCAGCGTACTACAGATGAAAGCTTTTTGACCTGAAACACGAGTTCCTAGATGGGGCAATTGTTGGTATGAGAAATGCAATATTATGGTAATCTATGGCAAGGAAATTAAGAGGCATTTAAGTGCATTGGGAATGTAACGTTCGTCTATGACATGTCTCATACAGCGATCGCTACAAGCTTCTTCTGTAAATGGGCGTTCTGGACATTGTTGAAGGTTCGATTCGCCGTTCTAGGGTATCCCTCTGGCCACTGGTAGGTGCAGAAGTAGAAGAAGTAATATCATCCGCATGTGAGTTTTCGGGACTAGTTGACGGTTGTCCTATTTGTGTGGAAAGTTGATGGGGAGGTTCAGAAGTTTCTCCAGGAGAGGAGAGCCTAAAAATGTTGCTTTTTGCTGAAATGGAAGAGCGTGGGCGTGGCCTTCACTACCTTATTGGCAGTTCCTTTGTAGCATCTTCATATGTCGGCAAGGGAGGCAAAATCTCATTGCGTGCTCTACCTGAATATTTCATTTTTAGTCATCTTCTACATCTCTCTACCAGTGGCGGCCTGAGATATCTGGGAAGGGTGGGGTGGGGGGGGGGGCATAAAGTCTTCGGACGAAGGGGCGGTTGACACGCCTTCCAAAGAAATTCTGTCTGCTAGAATTTTGGCGGTTTCAAACCCGCAATTTTTTAAGGAATGACCACTGGCTAATCCACGCCTCCAAAACTTTTCACAAGGCTAATGTGGGATTCTATGAGTTTCCGAGATTCTTTTGATTGATCAAGTGAAAAAGTTAAGAAGTCATGTAAGCAACTACCAGAAATTTTGCAACCAGTTATTCATGGGGGGGGGGGGAGGGCGTCCGCCCTTACGGCTCGGTCCGCCTTTCTGTCATATAACCACCTACACGCTGTGGCGGACTAAGGTCCCCCCTCCCCATTAGAATGGGTCGCGAAATTTTTGGTGACTTGTCTACCCTAGCAAAAAAATTGGAATAATTTTTGAATTTTTTAAGTTCATATTAGCCTTGTTAGAAAGATTTTCGAGAACGTGGCTGCTATGGCGTCCCTAGTTTTCTTTTCGAGGTTATGGGTCTCTCAAGAATTTTAGCTCACTTTAGTTTTTTTATAGAAAAATTTCTGTCCCTCCCCCCCCCCCCCGAACATAAATCATGGAACCTCCACTGCTACCACACCTATGTGACTTACCATAAGTGTGCAATACATAGGGCGGTGGACCATCTATACCAGCTGCCACGAACGGTGCTATTCGTAGATCTTCTGGTGCAATCACGTCCCCACGACGTGAGATACCGTATGCCGCAGCCGCACGAGCCATCTCCTCACGACGCGATGCTGCGTATCGTGATTGCACTTGCATCCGGTGCTTCATGAGGAGATACATGGATACAACCAGGACGATAATCATCACTAGGCTGAATATGGTCCCGCTAATGTCGCGACTGAGAAGTTCATTGGTCTGTAAAAAGTTGCTTCGAAAATCACAAAAAAAAAGAAAAAATAAAGTTCTTTCTACCTCTCCAAATCTGTGAAATCGTGATCCATGTTGAACAGTACGATTTGCATCTACTTCACAGTGATAGCCAACAAAAGTAGGCGGGCAAGTACAACGACCATGAACCTCTACCCCTGCAAATGATGAAATTGATCAAATTTAGGAAAATTGAGCATGGAATTGCACTTACCCCCGTTCAAGCACACCATATCTGTACATTGTTCTCCCTGATAAAATGGCAAGCAACTACAGTAACTGCGGCCATCGACACCTGGAATAATAAACTATTTTTGTTAATTTATGCCATTTTATGACTACCGTCTTGTATTGTACCATTATCGTAATCCATTACTTTATAACGTTTGCCAATTTTTTGATGAGCCAATTGCTCTTGCACTTTGTCTCTTAATAGCTGTTTATATGGGTGAAGTTCTCCTTTGAATGGGCGGAGCTGGCCACTCTCGGGGCGGGGTTGTCCCGGCGGAATCGTGGCCTTATCAATATCTAATGGATACGCTTGAGCAGCTCATTAATAGAATTTGAACATCAGAACAAGAGAAATTTATGAAATGTATCGATCGTCATGCACTTTGTCAGCGAAGTCCGAGAAGATCGTCTCCCTCTCTCACATCACCCTCTTTTTTATTCGTCCTGAGCAACTGAAAAGATTTACCTTTGAGCACTTGGCCTTGATCGCAAATTTTATCACAATATTCTCCAAAATATGGTTCATTGCATGCACACATCATTCCTAGAGATTGAGAGCGATACCCGTTATTTTGGCATGGAGCCAATCGTCGACAATGCTTGTCCAGTGCATCTGTTTCGTCTAAATATTCTCATTTTTGATTTGGAAAGGGGTTTAGCTAGTGACATACCAGGACATTTGCACTGTACACCATAACCAGTGAAGCTGAAATTGAATAGAGCTGCCGCTGATAGCAGAAATGTGCCCTAAATCAATTTTTGACCCTCTTCGTATCAATAGGAATTTAAAAGGATACTCTACCTCAAACACCCTGCAATGATTATCAGCTCCATCAGCTACACGTTCGTCAACTGCATAGTCAGACGCTTTTTGCGTCCAATTTGTAATCAGCTGAAATGGTCCGCAGTGAAAATCCTAGGTTATTTCCCTTTGTCCCTCACCTCTTCATTTTCCGCCACTGGTTGACCACCTCGGCAGCAGGTGACTTTGTAAGTTCGTGGCAACCATAAAGGACCAATAAAATCAATGCCGGGTCGTGGTCCCGGAGGTGGCGAGGCTGAAATAGAATTTTCAAAATGGTTATCCGGTAGTCTTCTTAATTGTTTTGTTATTTGTATCGGTTTGAAAAATACTCTTCTGAGCCAAAAGAGCTAATTTAAAGCTTTTCCTTCCCTATACAAGTTAGTAAACTTTCAGCTTCATCCAGACTGAAAAAAAAATTTTAGACGCTGAGAATTGTAGTTACAAGTTTAGGAATCTCTTCAACGTCCTACCTACTCAAGCGCAGAAAGAAGAATAGGTTATCCTTAAATAATTATTTGATTTTGGTCCTTACCACGTCCCTTCCACACTACTAAAGGGATACAAAAATGGCAGTAAATTCATTTTTTTCATCTGAAGTAGGCTCAAAAAAAAATCAGAAAACTATCGTGATTGTGGTGTTTGCCGTAATTGTCTTTTCAATTTTACAATTATGGGAGATACGCTTGAACGCGCTCTATAAGTCCAACAGAATAGGCCTTTAAATTCTTTTTCCAACTGCGAAAGAAAGCGATGGATTTCTATAAGTAATTCCAGAGTGTATCAACAATATATCATTTACTAGCTGTCAAGATACATAACCTTTGGTTCAACTGGCTTGGCTTTGGGAAGGCGGAGCTCTGTGACCTAATTAAGGCCGCTCGCGCCGCACCTGCGTCTCTCTCGCGCGAGTGCTCTCTGATCATTACCTAGCTTTAATTAGGTCACGAAGCCCCGCCTTAGCCAAGCCAGTTGAATCAAATGGTAGCTGGCAGATTAGTTTCAGTTCTCGAACTTGAACAATAAGAACTGAACCCGATTACACGATTCGAGAAGTCTTGCTAGGAGATCGCTAGCCGCTCGTAAAAGCCCTATCAAATGCATATATGCAGTTCGTAGCTCTTTATAGATCATTCCAATTTGATCAGAAAACTCATTATGGATGGAAGCAATTTACTAAGTTTATAATCCAGTTTATTAGCACTAGTCTTCCATAATTTTGATATTGTGGGCACAAAAAAATTGCAAGCGTTATTTTTTTTATAATTTCTTCCTTTTTTTAGTTTTTTCTTTTCTAGTATGTAAACCACTGCACAGATAATATGGAAATTACAACTGCAAGCAAAATGGCATAGCTCTTACATACGAGAAAAACCAACATCAATGCTGCGCAAATGTACACTTGCGCAACGACTCATAGGCAGTCTCCGCGCCGCGACGCACAACAATTGCTGTCAATGATAACTGAGTGCGAAATAAATGAATTTTTTGAAGCAAAAATAATTCATCCACAACTTCCTAGAAAAAAGAGCTAATCTTTTTGTTTTTTAAGAAAGCGCAAAAATGATCTCCACTCATCTTGGCAAAGGCGTTCACGGTGTAACGACTCAAAGGCAGCCGCCTACGCATCGCTACGCACACCAGTTGTTATTAATCGTTTGGAACTAGTGCGAATAAATTAAACGGATATATCTGAGGTCATGAATCTATCTGTCTATCTGCGGTTCTTTACAAAATTGCATACTTTCAGAAGAATTTTGAGGATTGTGAAACATTTTACTTTTGAAACTTACCATTATCGGCAATCGCATTTCGATGCAAATGTCCTATATAAAAGAGGATGAATGCAATTCGCATAATAAATCAGACAAATTCAGCGTCATACGTAGTGCATAGAATATATCTAAATGGAATATTTGAAAATTTGAATCCCACAGAAATCACAAAATTTTCCGGAAAATGCGAATAAAACTAGTTGTCAAGTCGAATAAGAGGTAATCTATGGCAGAATGCCAGAGAGCGAAATGTGAAGGGGAAAAAAGCGCTAAGCTCTCAGGTGGAAAAACCAGTTCTGCCACCGACGTCCTCTCATTCAGTTTGTCATGCATGAAAAATGTCCCGAATGCCGAGTGCCATGCGTCGACGAAACGAACAGGAATACGAAAAACACAAAAGAAAACAAGAAGATTAGTGGAAATCGAACGAGTTTTCGAAGGGGTTTTACGACTGGTAAGACAGTGAATAATCCGACGAGTACATGTTTTACTAGATGGGCGAGATGGAAAAACAACACCAAAGAGACCTTCCTGTTTACGAAGTACGAGTTCTAGAGTGAAGAACGTAAACAAAACTCTCTGGAATGTGTAAAATGTGGGCGAGAACTGCACTTTACCGGTCCAAAAGCATTCAAGCAGCTTAGGAATGAGAAATAGAGAAAAAATAATAATTTCGGAAGTACAAACATTTATAAGAAGTTCTAAATATCAAAGAAAACTAACATTTTGCATTGAATGACAGTAGTTTAGCGAGTATGAAGCTAAAAGTTCGATTAAATGTTCAACCGCTCGATACCAGGAAAAAAAATTTCGCTGCCATGATTACCATTGTTAAGCGAAATACCGGCTATAATGCAAAAAAATCATTTTCGTTTTTGCTGATTTTGTTTATAAAAAAAGATTATCACTTGAGGAAAATTTGGAGGCAAAACCATCCATAGGAATGGAACGCGCAGTAGTCGTTCTTATTGTACTACTCAAACTACGCAGTAGTAGTTCCCTACTGTACTACGTAAGGCATCGCTTATACTCGTAATTTTGGCGGGAATTTAGCTGTGATACTATTTCAAAACCGTACCGGTTTGCCCAATGAGTGTAAGGGAAATACTGTTACATTCCAGTGAACATGAAGAAACTCTTTCGTTTCGGAAGTAAAGTCGCAGACATCGTTTTTCAGGCATCGTTTATACTTTTAAAGCCATTTTTGGCGGGAAACATATCATACAAGCAGGCTGGTGTAATTTGAAGAGTTGAGAATTGCAGACTTTCTTTGCTATGGGAACAAAATGTATTTTTCCATAACAGTCGGAGAGAAGGACAATAAATTGTTTGTACAGAAATAAATTAGCAAACATCCTTTATAACTTACTATAATGCGAATTTGGGGTAGGGGGGGGGAGGGATTTTTATTACTGGAGCTAGTGTATGTCTGCCCAACAGGGGACAATGAATATTGCTGAGAAGGAATCAAAATCATAAGACTTTCAAGTGCAAGGGTGCAAAAAATTTCTATGGGGCGAATCTGAAAATTTTTATTTATGCATACTTTTTTGCAGTTGGTTGTTCAAGTCAAATGCATTTATGTGTTCTTTTAATACAGCAATAATTTTATATTAAAGAACCACTTCAATCAAAGTTTAAGCAATTTGAAAAAAAATTATGCGCAAATGCCCAGAAACTTTCTTTATGATTGACAACAATTGCTTATACCTTGAACCAAATCATTCCACCCTGACCCATAAGTGCCCAAATTAGGTCAAGAAAGGAAAAAGTGAGAAAATGACCAATTGGTCCTGTTGGTACGCACTAAACAGCTGAACAACATTTGCTTTCAAGTGAGATGAGAGAGTATTGCTTTTGGCCAACGGTTACACCATTACGCCATCAGTAGCAGCAGCAGCAGCAGTCGAAAACAAACCGGCTAAGGGCTAATGAATTCAAACGAATTTCGCTCTAAGTGTAGTGCCCCGGTTTTTTTAGATGAGACGATAACCCGCAACGTTACAGCTTACACAACGATCTTATCCCTAACGAAGCTAAGTGACAGGAAATTGGCTGAGAGCGATGGGTGGTTTGGGATTTTAATTTTACCCAATCACAAGCCTGTCTGAAAACCTGGTCAAGCAGATGTCGAAAGCTTTTTCCGCTATTAAACGGCTTCTAAAACGAAGTTTTGAAAACCAGACAGCCACATGTTCCGGAGATTTGTAAGAATTACACTACTAAAATAATTACAGCAAATTAGATCAAAACTCATGCATGCTCTATAAAACTCATAAGCAATAGATTTTTCGAGATTGAACAGAAGCAGTTAAGAAAAGAAATTCGAGAATTGAAAGTAAGCTTTGATTCTACTGGCTTCGCGGCTAGAAGGCGGGACCTCATGACCTAATTAAGGCTGCTCGCGCCCGCGACGCAGTCTGCGTTCCTATCGCGCGCATGCTCTATGATCATCATCTAGCCTTATTCAGGTCACGAAGCCCCGCCTTCCACCCGCCAAGCAAGTTGAATCAAAAGTTGCAGAGGATCTCTCAGCACAAAATTTTTTCAAAGCTAGTATTGCTGCATTACGGCAAAATGATTATTGTTCAAAGCTTTGCTACAGATAATATAATTCGCTCGTTATAAAATTCCTCGAAACACAAACACCTTGGTGTGAAGCGTACAAAGAAATGTAAGAAAATCAAAATAAAGTCATTTCAATAGTGAATGGAATGTCTACAATTTATACAGGGTTTACGTCGCGAGACCTCTCACCGAATTCATTTGCATTCATTACATATAAACTACCACGAATAAACGTCAAAGGAGTGTAATCCTCATGGAGGGAAAAAACTGTAATGAGATTCGAAAGAACAGCACTGACGTACAGCGTAGGCGTGAACTTTTATGAGAGGCAAATGTAAAAATGTCGAGAAAGTGGAAAGCTTTTGTAAGAGTAAGAAAATACGAGGCTGGGAATAACGAAGTTCTAAATGATTAATCAATGCTTATAGAAAAAATATACGTGACAAATAAAAAAATATATATACTATTGAAAATCACCTTTGGTTCAACTTTGGCGGCTGGAAGGCGGGGCTTCGTGACCTAACTAAGGCCGCTCGCGCCCGCGACACAGTCTGTGTCTCTCTCGCGCGCATGCTGTGATCATTCATTACCTAGCCTTAACTAAATCACGAAGCCCCGCCTTCTAGAAACCAAGCCAGTTGAATCAAGGGAAAGTATCTAAATATAGGAGTGAAGATTTTGATGAAGACGAACAAAAATAGAAACAAAAATAAAGGTTTTTTTACTATATGGTCCAATATATCATTCTGTAATTGTAATTTGAAGTATAGGGCACGTAAAGTAAACTGTGCAGCATAGTATGCCAAGAAGTGAATATGAGTTGTACAGAAAACCCTTTTATCTCCTCCCCCCTCCAGCGCTCTACAAAAAAAGACCCAAAAGCTATAGCAATAATCTGCAATCACTAAACACACCGCTAAAGCTATCATCGACAATTAAAGGCTTAGAAACGAGACTTCAAAGCGCATTTTCTGTCCATTGATGGCTTGACGAGTGCTAAGAACCGGCCTCCGAGCATGCGATGATTGTCTCGGCTATGAATCTGTGTTGTTTTTGTTTGTGTGTTTACCACTCAAGAGAGCGAATTCAATACCTGTAGCTGGGGAGAGGGGAAGGGGGGGGGGGAGGGGTGAAGGCGAAAAAAACACCTGCTGTTCATACCTGAGTGTTTTCGAGTAACACCCTGTCACCTCGTCGCTTATGAAAAACAAATTCTTGACAGCTAATGACTTCGTAATGCGTGTCTCACTTTTAAGTGAATGAGAAAGCGGAGTGCACGTTTTTTTCTGTGTTAAAGGAAAATGGAGAATTTTCAGGCTTACAAGAACTAAGAAAAAAATTGAAAAAAATTAGAAAAATTTTAGATTCATATGAATAAAATCAAACTTTCCCAATATTGTTCAGAAACACTACACAACTTTTACCCTAGACAACCGACCGAAATTTTCGCAGAACGTTTGAGAAAAATCAGTCGGATCACCTCGGAAGTTCCGTAAACGCGCTGCGGAATTCCCAATTGAGGTGCTGCGGAAGTTCCGAAGAATGCGAGATTGACAAAAGAGGATACCTAAGGCGAGATTTGAGCCTTACTCTCTAACTGCGAGACTCACTCACTATCCTCTGAACTAAGGATGACATGTTCGACAATCCACTCTAATTGTTAGCGAAACAACATTGTAAGAAATAACACATTTAAAATCCTGCGGAAGTACTGGCGGGCCAAAGTGCTGCGAAACCGCTGGCATTTTCGGAATTTCCACACCTCCTTGCAAAAAGCCCTGCGGGGTTACTGCTTTCGACTAGTCTGATGTGAAAATCCTGCGAAAATTCCCATTCTCAAGGTTTCCGCCGTAACAGTAAACAAAGTCCTGCGGAACCGCCGCAAACTTGGCTTGTCCTGCGGAAGTTCCGGAGAACTGTCTGGAACGAAGGAATGGCTTTATATGGCGATATCAAATGGAGAACCAATAAGCAAAAAATCTTCTTGAATTTCGAGATGATTTTCCCACGGTATCAATGATATGCACTTGCTAGCAAACATATGTAAATACAGCTACATCTTCTGCTCTTCAACATCAGAATAGCGAACAAACAGTTAAAGAGTGACATTGAATATTTCTAGTCGCAAGAAATAGATGAATCGCAACGAAAACATTTGGAAAAGGAAGAGTCATTATCCTTTTGGTGATTTATTACACATGCAACAAATGTAAATTTAATGATAATGACCCCTGGGAACAACACTTGTCACATGTCTGATCATTTGATTAGTCACTGAACTTATGTTATCATGACACATGCAATTTGGGGAACAAGCAAAAAATGCTCAGCTTAGATTCTTTTTCCATCAAGCATATAATGGTGACGCTATAGATGTGAGCTATTCTCAAATATGTTATGAGATTAGGTGAGGGAATTGACAATTTCAGCCAAGGTAGATTGGTGATGCGATAGCAAAAATCGTATAAAAATGAATGAATTATATAGATAATAAAATTGATAGCTGAATCTATAGCGGCCTTAGAAATTTCCTCCAAGCAAGGCTAAAAATGTGTCAAATA